TCCCTCAGCAACGACAAGCAGCTGTAAGACGCTCCACAATTCTCAGCAGAATCAGATGTCCAACAGATGAGGTGGTCTTAGGGATGTGATGGTAATAGAAAGGCACTAATGATGGGAGGTCCACTCTATTTGCTCTAGGACCGAGGAACTCCCCAAATTCAAGTCCTCATTGGACGGACTGAGTTTTTAATCTGAGATTGTAGAGGCAAAGGGAGGCGTGGTCAAAGGGGAAAAAAGATACTCAGTCCTAGACTGTGTTAACCCATGCTTGGACTCTCCAAGTAGCGCTCAGGAGAACCTGCTGGTTTTCATAAAACGCAAAACTTTTTGGATGTGTAACTTCATTTTTTAGAATTCTTTTTCAGAGGAAACATGCTTGACTTCCTTCTCTGACTATTATATGTGGTCCTTGAAGACTAGAATGTTTGAATATTTTTTAAAGAGTAGGTCAATACTTGCAAACTTTAAAAAATGTTAAATTTGTTTCATCAGATTTAAGATTGGTACATAAAAATGTTCTATTTGAATTTATTGGATACTCCAAATAATGTATTTGAAAAGAGATTTTATCTGTTAGCACTGCAAAAAATGTGATGAGGTATTAAATTATGATTTAGTGCTGTGAGTTATCTTTTTGGAACAATATTTTAATGTACAGTACATAAGTAGATTTAGGGAAAAAATCTTTCAGTAGTAAAGATACTAATGTCACATTGACTTATGTTAATCTAAAATGTGGGACACTTCACTGTTATTTAAAAACTTTGGTTGTATCTGGCGTGAGAAATTGGAAAAGCATTAATTTTCTGGACATTAAGGACTAGATTCAAGATATGTAATTTATCCCTTTTTGAAAGGGTAATTTTTTCCCCTAATCAAAACAATGCAGTATGTTCTCTGTGACATACATTTCATAATATCTACAAGAACATAAGATTTATTATTTAAAATGATCATTGTTTGATATTTAATATATAAGTGACATGCCGAGATGGCTTATATTTTTTCTTTCAGGATTTGTATTGTTTATTAATTATATTTTTCTCTTATTTTTGTTAGTTTGCATTGAAATGAAATATTATGCCTTGTTTTAACTAATTTTATTTTATGCTTTTATATCTATCTATGAATCAACCCGTAGGCTTTTTGTCCATACATAGGGTACACACAAACACTTGCTCACACACACCATGTATGTGTGTGTTTGTAGTTGTGCAGATACGTGTGTGTTCAAAATGTTTCTGTAATTGTTTATCTACTGGAAATAGAAGTGTAGATGCAAACATGCCTTGCATTAGTTTTACACCATTTATTGAAGGCTTTGCTTGTCAATAATCAAAGTAAAATGACTGTTTTTATGAAAGGTTGCTATTCTAGGCAGACTTTCTATGGCTATAATTTCAGCTTAGTCTTCTGTTATTAGAACAATAACAATTATTGAACAAGAGCTACATAAGTGGGTAGCAACTACTGTAACCTTACGAAACTAAGCAACCCAAACTCAAACTTACCTTATCACAGGAGTAAACAGACTGTGAAGACGACAATATAATCTTACACCCTGTTAAGTACACGAACAATATAAATTACTCAATATCAAGTAAAGTCCATATATATTTATTTATACAGGTTACTGTCTCTAATAATGGCAATATATGACTTCAATTTAAATTGCTTTAAAGCATAAGAGAGGAAAAAAATCCTTCAAAAGCATATTTGAAATCCAGAAAAATTCCAATAGCTACTTCTTAAAAAATAAATATGGATTTATTTTAAAAATAAATTTGAAAAAAAATTAATTCCACTACTGGTTTAATTATCACATGTTCAAAGTGTAGGCTTGAAAGCGGTTATGCACTTCTGATCACAATATCATGATAAAGTAGGATTTGTAGTTTATTTAGTTACAACCCTCTGTTGTTCGTACATTACTCATCCCTTCGCAAGAACAGATACATAAATCAGACATTTTTTAACTGTTTATTATACCAGGATCATAATTCAAGATTTAAAACAGGGTTTGTTAGCTTGCTTATCAAACAAAGCATTAAAAGCATTATCACAAAACATCACACCAAAGCAGTGTTTCTTGACCTCAGCAATTTTAAGATCTATGGACTTCAACTCCCAGAATTCCTCAGCCAGCATTAAGGTTGAGAAGCACTACTAAGGTATTCCTTCCCAATTTATTTACTGAGATTAAATGAAGCAAAAGAATAACTGGAAGGATGCATGTAACTCATGCACACACTGAGCTTATTTTTAATGAATTATTGGCCTGCTTCTACTCTTTAAGCAAATGAAAATAGCATGTTATTCTTTGAAAGAATACTAGCATTAAACTGTAAAATAAGAGAACATAGATAACATTGCTAAATTCAATCAAATTATACTTACCTATTACATTATATTAGGATTTAATACTATATAACATAATTTGTCTTTCATTTCAACACCTCAACAGAACATAATTTTATCTCCTTATTTTTGCACATCAGGAAAACAGGAAATTTAACTTATATTAAATTTATAACACCAGTTTTATGATGCCATATTTTTTGTTTTTAATCAAAATGTTTGTATTTTAATTAGTATAACTATTTAGTATAATGTTTTACCTTTGAAATTACATCCTGCATTTCATTTCTTGGATAATATGTGCCATCATCATAACGGAATCTATAGAGCATGTGTTCAGGTTTAAACTGATGTTTGTCTGTAACTAACCCAAAAACAAACATAAAAATATGTCAATGTAAAGAAAATATATGAAAAAAGCTAGAAGTATGCTGCAATAATTGGCTGCAATAGGTTTGCCATTTTTCACAATGGTTTTAATGAGGTTTCATTAGACTTCACCATATGCTTTTATTTTATTGTTTGCCCTGAATCTGAATAGCAAGAATTTAATTTTGCAAAGAATGCTATACATCATGGGTATCAAACTTGCAATGTTACGTTGTTGTCACGTGACATATTGCAACTTCCCCCCCTTCATTAAACTGGGGTGGGCGTGGCCAGCGCATGATGCATCCTGGCCGTGGGCCATGAGTTTGACAACCCTACTGTACATCATCATCTTTGTCAAACACAAAAATGTCCCATTATTCCTAGATATCTTAGCATGGGGAAAATTACATTAAAATAGTAAATGCATAACTTATGAACCCAAAATTTTCCTGCAATTACCAAATTTATTCCAAAAGTGGTTGCCAAATTTGAATCATAATATGAATCTTTAATCCCTCTCTCTCATTCTTTAGTAGCCACTGCCAACTGCCTGAACTGAAAATAAATCTTTTTCTCAAGAACAAATCTCACAATGTCCTCATTATCAAGCTTTATTAGAAAATAATGTGGGAGTATTACAAGTATTCCAGCAAGTGAACAATTCTCCTCTTAGTACTAAAATATTTTTGTCTATGTCAGGTCAGGAATTTGAGTCTTTTCTCACAATTTATTGGTATAATAGTGAAAATGTATATTTTTTCTCAGATGCAGCTTTGGGATATTTAAGTAAGAGCTATTTGAATCCTTATCAGTTCAAAACAGGTCTTTTTAAAAATAAACATAAAACTTCAGCATTATTGGACTCCAGTAGTCTTTTACTGATTTTTCTTTCTTATAGTTCTACTGGCTGCTGGAGGTTCTACTCTGAAAAGTTTTAAAACCTAAACACAATTTAGTATTTAATGAAGGATTGTCTCTTAACATGCTTCATATCCCTATCAGAATATATTTCAAAGGAGCAATGAAAATCAAGGCATTTTTCTAAATAAATGCCCAGCAATGTTTTTAAGCTGCTAACAGCAGGGTGCAATTTAATGGCTACATAAATATAACTCTATATCCCATGTCATGTTACATAATCTCTCTTTCACAGACACTTTCAAATACAGCTCTTTTAAGTTTTTCTTAAATATGATAAACAATTAAACTGATAAAAAGAAGGTTTTCAAACAAACAAATTATGCAATATCAGAAAAAAAACAAGATACAGAAACATCAACAAAAAATATTAAATGCAGCATCTGGATATTTTAAACAATTGAGCTACAAAACAGGAAGAAGCAAGTTGTATATTGATCTTAGTCTGTTATCAACAATTAATGGGTTTAAGTTATTTGAAAATCAAACAAAAATGCTAACATTTATATTCTTTTATATCTATGATTGAAAATTTATAAATTTATAACCTTTGCATCCTTGAATCACTTTGTTCTGTTGTTTGACTAACAACAAAAATATTAAATATTTAATTAAGATACGTTAACTTCTGTTTTCTTCAGATGCATATCCTTGTCTGCACTTGTAAAGTAGCCTGGTTTGTACTTAAGATGGGAGAACTTCAAGGAATCCCAAAGCTATTTGCTAGGCATAAAGCAAAAAAACCCAAACAAACAAACAAGAGGAAGACAATTGCAAGTGATTATTGCCTTGCTGCCAAAAAACCCAACATGACTTTGAATAGTTGAGCTGTATTTGAGTTGAGTTGACTTGAAGGCTTTAATTCTTACTTTTTTCAACTGTTCTGATATGAAAAGCATATATTTGAATTATTTATTATTAGATAAAAAGTATACAATAATACAATAACAGAGTTGCAAGGGACCTTGGAGGTCTTCTCGTCCAACCCTCTGCCTAGGCAGGAAACCCTATACTGTTCCAGACAAAGGGCTATCCAACATCTTCTTAAAGACTTCCAGTGTTGGGGCATTCACAACTTCTGGAGACAAGCTATTCCACTGATTAATTGTTCTAACTGTCAGGAAATTTCTCCTCAGTTCTAAGTTGCTTTACTCCTTGATTAATTTCCACCCATTACTTCTTGTTCTACCCTAAGGTGCCTTGGAGAATAGTTTGAATCCCTCTTCTTTGTGGCAACCCCTGAGATATTGAAACACTGCTATCATGTCTTCCCTAATCCTTCTTTTCAACTGTTCTTCATATG